CTCTCTCCAGTAGCTCCTCATCTTTCTTGAACTGGGGAGCCCAGCACTGGACAGAGTACTCCAGATGAGGCCTAAAGGAAGATTAACTTTGAAAGGGAAGATTATCTTTGAAACTATTTGTAAAGACCACCACCCCTAAACAAGATACAGTGATGCTGGAATAACGAACCTAACAGAGGACTAAAGTTAATTACGTTAAAGATTTAGAAGTGTCACAATGAAATTACATTTTAAGCAAGTCTGAAAATGCAGATGTTACAACAAGGCCCAATGACTTTACGTAGGGGAGAAATTTTTGCCACAGCTCTAGGTGTTTACAGTGTTTTAATGCACACAATCTGATAATTGAGTTCATATTTAAAGACAAATTATATTTTGTAGAATTTGGATGGCACAGTATTAAAAAATACTTTGCAAGCTAAGAGTTTATTCCTTCACAAATTCTGACTGGTCCAAACTAGGTTAGGGGTACACCCAGCATTTTAGGGTAAATATGACCGGATGTCACTTTTAAGAAAAAGTATTGGCTCCTCGGTTCACAAGCCAGATTACAGTAACAACTAAAAACAGAGAATAAAATCTTCCAATCTATTAAAGATTAAAACCCTGGTGCTTTTAGAGATTCTAGACCTAGATCTTCCAAAATTCAGCGTTCTAGATTTTCCAAGATGCAGAATGGCAGGGCAGATTTGAAGCTAGATTGTAAGAGAAAAAAATCAATGTGTGTGGGGGGGTGTAAAAAAAACCAAACCCGAAAGAACTTATTAGAGAGGACTTCAGCCTAACCCTCAGAGGTCTGAAATAACTTCTAGGCCCAACACAAATACTCTGGACATCAGAGACAGGTTATGCACTTGAGTGGAAACAGCTGCCAGGATGTATGTAAACAACCTAAATTGGTAACTCGAAATTAAAAGAATAATAGGTAAATGATAATTGGGTTCAGACCTAAAAATTAATATGAATAATTACTCAAGTGTAGGAAAAAAAAACAAAAGCAGCTTAATAAATCCAAAAATATCAATGCTTTTCACTGCTATGAGCAAAAAGTACTTTTTCTGCTTCAGGAACAAGATAAATCCAAAGAAAAATAATGGAAGGCTGATACATCAACATCACATAATTAGGGATGGAAATGTAATGTACCCTACTCAAAATAGTTTTATGGGGACAAAGTCATATTGATCTGGTTTAATTTTGTTACTGAGATTAAAAGTGCAAAGGATAAAACTGTAGATTGTAATGTCATTTTTTTACAGCAGTAGAATTTATATTATATGGTAATGTGATTAAAACGTAGTAGTATCAGTATGGCATATACTAAACTGAATTATGAAATGACTAGCTAGCATTTCTAAATAGAAGCTGTCAATAGACACTACTGCGAAACAGAGAGGGTTTGTAAGAACTGGTAAAAATCGATTACAGCTTGAAATTTGAATCAAGAAACGGAGAATACACAAATGTGCAGTAATACCTGTGAATAACAAGCACTGACACTGAAAGCAGTGAGGATGCCAGGGCGGTCACACAGGCAGCCCACACCTCTTGCAAAAGGGCATTCAAATAATATGTATTTAATACAGCGAATACACCAGTCTAGGCACACGTAACGCCAAACAGCGAAACAAAGGCCGGAGACCTAGAAAACAGCGATGGGCTTCAGGCTCTCCTGCTGACATAACAGCACAGTACACAACTCCTGAAAAACATCTCTCAGTTCCGGCTGTAGGTCCCCAAAGTGAAATGACTCCAGAAGCTGATTTGGGGCTTCGCAACAATACCTCCATGTTTTTAATTTGGTCTCTGTACGAAGATGAACAGGGTAGTAAGTTACATTGCCAACCAAGAACCGGCAGCAGAACACCTCAAGAACAACAAACAGCTCCCTCCTCCTCCCCTCTTGTATTCCAGGAGGGAGATTACCAACAAGCCACAACCAATCGTCATCTTGCTACTAATGAACCTAATTCTTAACTTACAAAAACATAAGGAAAATAGCTAGATTTTAGCAAACCAGCTGAAGGTTTCCAGGTATCTGAATAAAAGTGAAACAGGAGAATGCCGAAGCAATGGAGAAAGACAAAGCAGAACTTTGAATCATTAATTCAGAATCACAATGCCTTAGAAGTTGCCCCTGAAAGCACTGGCTTCCAGCAGAAATCAGGGCCCCAGTGCGCTAAATTTAGGATATCAGCTGCTAAATTCTTCCTCCGTCCTGGTTTCTGCTAAGCCACATATCAGCATCAGGAGTAATCCACCAGCGTGTGATAAAACAGCGGGTAACAATCACATCAGAAGGCATGATCAGACCCCCTGAGCAGGTGTATAAAAACCAGGTACGTCTCAAACCTTTGGATTACAGAAACAACATTAAGGAGTAGTGCAATCAATTCTCAGTGTTTTGTGGAAGAAAAACCAACCATAACCTTGATAGTTCAAAGTAAGATGAGACAGAGAGTGCTCTGTGAAAACAATGCTAAGGAGTAGTGCAATCAATTCTCAGTGTTCTGTAGAAGAAAAACCAACCATAACCTTGATACTTCAAATTAAGACGAGACAGAGAGTGCTCTGTGAAAACAATGGGAGTTTATTATTCCCAAATACTAGCTGTAGTACAGAAATCATCAGCGACTGCAGAATCACGCTTGAGAATCTGCACTTCTCTTTACAGGGGAAAAAACGCCAAACGTCTGGCCATGCTCAGACACAGAAATTTTCTCCAAAGATTGAGCTGAGCGACTACTTACACATTGTTCTCTTCACAAGTCTCCAGAAAGACAGACAGCAATGGTTATAAGCTAAACTATTTCTCCTTGCCTTCTAAAGCTAACAACAAAAATCAAAACTAAAAATGCAGAAGTAATGAAAAAAGAATATTCAGATACATAAACAAACAAGAGACTCCATTTATTCTATCTCTTTTCAGACTTTTAATAAGCACATTAATTTAAAATATGACGGGATCTTGTTACAAAGCATAAACCTTACCAAAATACACTAGACCTTTGACAGAATTCCTGTCCTGCAAACTCTTAATAAACGTAAATCCTACACGGATCAGCATTTACTGGGATGTAATTTCAGCCCACGTGAAGCCTGTCAATGAACTGCCGTGATACACTGACCCGGGCCTGCCTTCCTTAACACCTCAGGTAACAACAAAAACTCAGGGTGGAAGAGAAGCAAACCAAGGGCACCAGCAAACTGAACTCACCTCTGTACCGGGCACTCTCTTCAGCACATTCCTTGAGGAGTCTTCTTTCCTCCTCTGTCGGCACATAGGGCTTGGGTACTTCCCTCTTCCGTCAGGGAAATAAATTAGAAAAGAATGAGCAGAAGAAAGGTTTGGGGAGGATTTTTTCAATTAAAACCTGTGTCTGACTTTCACACCTTGTAGTGCCTGTGCTTTCACACAGCTACGCTTAAGGACCCGGTGACTTTTGTCTGTAAATCTCACGTGAAATATATAATTTAAAAAACCAACGTTTCTACAAAACACACGGGAGAGCAGAAAGTATTTTGTGCACGCTCAAATCCCAACTCGGTCAACTCCTTTTCCTTCAGAAAAGCCCGCTCTGGTCCTTGCCACCAGCCTTCCACACCGATGAATTCTGGCAGCTCATTAAATCCCTTTTTTAAACGCTTGTCAGGGCACTAACCACACGACGCGCGTTGTTCAGGTGTGTGTGCCTGGGGAAAGCTGGCCGGCTGTTCTGCCCGCGGCTGAGGAGTTTCTCCGTGCTCCCTCCCGCCGGGAAAGGGCACGGGAAGGCACGAAGGACAGAGGCGAGCAGGCCCCGGCACCGGGGAGAAGGCGAAACGCCGCC